TCAGCAGTTGATATTATTTCAGATGAGGAATTCTGATGGTCTTGTTTGAAGATATCTATGTCTGAAGACCTTGTCCAGTTATAGTGACTTCTTCTGAGAGATAGTTCTGTAGCAGCAATTATTATTAACAGTATCATCCTTCCCTCTGATAATTGATATATTTTATGCATTACAGTACTTATGTATCTGTCAAAAATATGTAGTTCCATGTAACCTTGAAACATGGAACTAAAAATTATATTAATGTTTAAATACATGAGAATGGAGTATTTTTTTCCTTCAGCGGAATATATCAGACTTGTAGTATATAAATGTGTTAAAGATCATGTGTGATCCATAGGACAGTTTTAGGTGAATATTCCTAGTCCCTCTGGCATCCTTGCTCACCATGAACTGCTAGATGGTGGTGTTCATTTTCAAAAACCACCTTCTAGTTCCTGTTGACAGTGCATGTCCAGCAGCTGCTAAAAAAACACATCTCTGCATAGAGAGTTTGCCTGGAGTTAATATCAACCCTTCTGCACAGAACAGATGATAGTGGCAGCCACTGATACCACTTGTTACACAGGCAGATGGCATGTAAATACTATTTTTTGAGACTGGCCAAGCAAGGAAGCAGTTACTAGATCTTTTCTGGAAAAGTATGGTGTTTATACTCTCTATGGATAAATTTTTAGTGAAACTGACTCTAAAGAGGCGTGCAAGCCTTGCACAATCTGTGTCCCTCATTCTGAAAGGAGCTTACTAATTGATTAATGTCGGTAAGTTTTGTCTGGGCATATGTTCATGCTTTCCAATATATCAGAAAATGTGTTTTGTATGTCCTTCTGCTCTGTCTTAAGTAGTGTTGTTAGCACTAATTACAGCTGATTTGAACATACTATTTAAGATACAGTGTATGCATAATAACATATGTCCCTGGCTTTTGATAAGATGATCTGAGAATCATGAGTTCGGGTTGGCTTGAAGCAAAAGGACCAAATGAGTTACGGAGCACTTTGTCCCTGATGTTGGAAAATGTTTGGCATTTCCATTCAGTATCTAATAGTAATTTTTTTGAGGTCACATTAAGGCAGTCCTCTGCTCAGAGAGTTTAGGAAGTATAGTAGAGCAAGAGTGTCAGTCTCTTCTCCCAAGTAACAAGTGATAGGACAAAAGTAAACGGCCTTGAGTTGCACCAGGGGAGGTTTAGATTGGATATTAGGAAAAATTTCGTCACTGAAAGGGTTGTCAAGCATTGGAACAGGCTGCCCAGGGAAGTGGTTTAGTCCCCATCCCTAGAGGTATTTAAAAAGTTGTGTAGACATGGCACTTAGGGATGTGGTTTAGTGGTGGACTTGGCAGTGCTAGGTTAATGGTTGGATTGATGATCTTAAAGGTCTTTTCCAACCTAAATGACTCTGTGATTCTAAGAACATAGTGCCTTTGGTGCTAACAGTGCTTCCTTTTGTGTCCTTGGTTACTAAGGTGGTCACAATTCTCCAGTTCCCTCACTGATATCTCTATGCTTTTGGGTAATCAAATAAAATCCTGTAATCTTTAGCAGTTCCTGCCTGATCTGTTCTTGTAAACAACATTCTCATAAATATGAATATATTCTGACTGCTTCCTAGCAGTAACATAGAAGAGATGACTCTAGCATTATTTGCAGAGCCTTAGCTCTTCCCTTTAATGAGCTCTTGGGTGAGACAGAAGCAAAGCCAAAAGATCAGATGTGTTTCAGAAAAAAAAATCACACGTAATCTGAGGGCTCTGAATGTTTACATGCTTGTTTACTTATACAGATTATCGTATGATTTGTCTGACTCGGAACTATAATGTTAATAAATAAACTCATGAACTTTAGTGACATTTACAACAAATACATGTCAGCTCTCATGCCGTTTTCAACACAGTTGTGTAGTGCTGGATTTATAGTGCCAGGGGTGTTGCAGTTACAGAATGCCAGCATTTTCTTGACGTTCAGCTTAATTCTATTTTAACATCATTTTTGTCAGTGATATGCTAAAAAAACCACAAACAAACAACTTTGATGGTGTGGCATTGATAATTTAATTTCTAAAAGTGATAAGAACTATAAAAAAAGTTGAAGAAATGTATTAATGGGTTCTTTAAGACAGCTCGTGACAACTAGTCTTACTGAGAGACCTTGCTGACCACTTTAGGCATAGCATATGGCAATGTATGCAATTCATGTTCTCAATTTTGACAGCACACACATGGGCACCCCCACCCCTCCCCAAAAATTGACATAGTGGAAAAGCTCATTCATGTAATCTAGTTTTTATCCTAGATGACATTCTTTTTGTCAGCTGGAAGTAATTAGATTGCAGAGTCTTCTGCCTAGCTTCATTTAACTATTAATATTAGCGTGTAGCATGTGAATAAAACTTAAGGTTGATTTCTTTATGTATAGAAAGTAGTATGAAAGTAGTATCTCTTCCATAAAGAGATTGACAGACTTAAAAAAATGGAAGCACTTTTATTGCAGCATTTGGTGTTCCTGCCCATAAGCAGCCACGTCAGGAGTTCCATAGCTAAGGTCTAAAACAAATTACTATAAATGTAGACCTTATGTGGTAGACACTGAAGTTTACAGATGAAGAATTAAAGGTATCCACTAGCTTGTGCAATTTACAGGCCCAATTACCTGCTATTTTCTCATGAAGCATATATATACATTTTTAAGATTAACCTTTTATCTTTTCTTTCCCTTAATATTTTACTATAGTTTTCTCTCTCATGCCATATGTGGCCGGTTCTTTTACTTGGTAAAAAAAGCTACTTGCCCTTCAGTAGCAGTTGAGATCCAAAAAAACATCAATACCGTTATATCAGAAATTGTATGCATCCCAGAATGATTCAGGTCCTTCAGCAGAAACAGGATTTTTTAATATGCTCTTTCCTATGTGTAAGAGCGTATAGGCAGTGAATGTTCTGACTCAGAATATTTGCTTTCAGGCTAAATTGAAAGAGAATAGAATATCAAAATTACCCTGTCTTCCAAACTCTGAAAATTTGGTTTTATTAAAGATAGTTTTGTTTTGAAACTGTGGCATATATGAAAAAGAACAGTACATTAAAACAATATTTAATATCATGCAAAATTGACACACCCCTGTCAACTAGTCTTTTCTAACAAAATAACCCTCTTCCTATAAATATTTTTGACAGGCTTTGTTGTTACAAGATTTGCTTAAACTTAGATGTAAGTTTAAACATGCTTAGTGTAACAGAATTTATCTTTTGATTTGTCTCTACGGACATCCTATACACCTTTTTTTGGAACACTCTTCACTGAGAGCATGTGAGTGAATATAAAACCTGAGCTTATTTATCTGTTTTATATTTATGATCTAACATACGTGCAGCATATCTGGAGAAGTGCATGTTATTTATATAATAAACCATCCTTTTAGCTGCTTATCAGTATTAGGAAAAATAATATTATTTCAATGTTTGACTGAGTCCCAGATAGTTTTGTGATTATGTCGGTAGGGCATACTGTCTCTAATTTGGTTACAGGACTGTATTTTCTAATATAGTTGTTTTTCATATAGTTAGGTAGATTATGCTATTTTTTGGACTGAATTACTTCATGTAAAAGTTTGGGGGTTTTACATTTCTGGTGATTATGATTTCACTACATAATAATATTAGAGAATGAACTGTGTTCTAATGGTGATAATAAACTGGACCTGTTACAAAACCAAGGCTGCAGGCCAAGTGCTTCCAATCTCTAGAGACGGGGCAATTTTAGATTAGCTGTGTACATCATGTTGCTCTTACTGCTTTTAAACAAGGGTTCCAAGTATTTCAAGAGTGGTCAGGCACCTTTGAAGTCATTTTACTGGCTGAATTCTGGCAGTTAGGTCTCTCGTTCATACCTGCCCAGTTGTTGCCTGTAAAAGGCAAAGCAATGACTTATTATCTACATTCTCAACATCCTATTGCCATTTTGCAATAAATAAATAAATCACGCTGCTCATCTTAAAAATTAAGGAGTGTCTCTTATCTTTCTCTAACGTTTGTGTGTCTTTTTTTTTCTCTAAAGGCTCACCACTGTTACCAGTGAGAAACAATAGATTGTTGGAAGGAGTTACTAAATGTCTGTAGAAAAAAATAACAATATTTAACAGTTAAAATTTCGCATTTCTTATGATACTGCATCTACAAGTGTGATGGGAATGAGAAAAGAATTAGAAAAGACTAGATTTAATTTTTTGTCAACATTCTACACATTAAAATATATATCTGTACATACATGTGTATTCAGTGGATGGCAGCAGAAAGAAGGATGAAGGTAAAGAAAAAGGAAGTGGGATCTGATTGTTAATCAGCATTATTCCTGTATTATTCTGTGATGATGATGATGTATGAATTTCTGAGACAGTCTGAAACACTGAACATATTGCCTTTATAGTTTTTCTAACACTAATTTATCACATTTTAGATTACAAGAGAGAGGAATCTTTTCTGCCAATGTGATCCAATGCTTTAAAGATGTAGTTGCAAATCTCCACAGCTAAGCCTTGCTGATGAATAGTAACAGTAACTATAGGCCTGTGAGAGACTGTTCTCCTGACTGCTGTCCTGTGCAACGTTGTTTTGTTCGCAGTGGTTTAAAGAGGAGCAAGTCAGTGTTATCACTGTCTTTGAGGTGACACTGTGAAAGAAGTTCCTTTTGCTGGGATTTATTTGCTTCCTTGGTAAAAGGATAGAACGTTTTTTATAATGCTATGGGAAAACACAACTGTTCCAGCCAAAAATTTCTGTTGTAAAGTAGACAACAGCATTCATGGTTGTAGCAGTTTTTAATGACTTCTAGGTTTGCACATACAGTAAATATTTCTAATGTTATCCCCTCATTTAGACTGCACACCTCGGTACATTAGTGTGCACAGAGTCAGGTATTGCAAAGGTAAATGGAACTACACAAGTGGGGAATTTGCTATGTGACTGGAAGTTACCATTCATCCTGTAATCTGTATCTGTTCTAGCTTCTTCAATCTTGAAGAGAGAGAAGCGGAAGAGAACAAAAAATGTCCATTTTAACTGTGTTACCGTGTATTACTTCACGAGAAGGCAAGGCTTCACCAGTGTTCCCAGCCAAGGGGGAAGCACACTGGGAATGTCTACTCGCCACAACAGTGTACGCCAGTACACGCTCGGAGAGTTTGCGATGGAACAGGAGAGGCTTCACCGAGAGATGTTAAGAGAGCATCTAAGGGAGGAAAAACTCAATTCTCTAAAATTAAAGGTAAAAATTGTTCAAGACTTTGATCCCTGCCTTATTTATTTAAATGAGCAGTGTCAGAGGTATATGAGCCCAATGTATGTGTTTTAAACAAAACCATTTTCTTTATATCAACTCCATTTTCAATCTAAACAATGGCTTTTTTTTTTTATTTTACTTAAGACGTATTTTTGTTTGATATTACCAAGTGCTGCTGTAGCTGTTATTGATTTGTACCTCAAAGTGCTTTACAGGAAGGTTGCTGTTTACTCCGTGTTTTCTATAGAGAGGAAAGCAAAGGCAGGAAGTGGTGGAAGTTAGCCTTGAAGTGGGTGTCCAGCAGAAGTCTGGAAGTGCCAGGAAGAGAAAATAAGAAACAATAATACTGAAAATGTTTTCTTTTTTCAGTGTACGAATTTATACAATCATGTGTCTTTTAATATTTCACCAAGGGATGTCTATGTTAAAGAGGGAATGTGTCAGACAAATTAACTGGCTGTATCAGTTTAGCTAGTCAGAACAAATCTTAGCTACAGTTTTGAAGCTGTCTTTTAAAATACAATATGGGAGAGGAAAGAAACAGTGTATTTGAGTAGAGGACAATAGAGAAGGGGACTGTGTTCTTGGAAGGGTTCTTTCAACCCCTTTAAAATTGTTGGCAAAACTTCTGTTTTTGTTATGTTTTTGTAGTGGATGAAACAATTCCTGTATAATGGTTTGCATTGTACGTATTTTGGGCTGCTGGTTGTAACTGAACTACTGTGCTCCATAGCCCCTTCTTTCATGATGATATATCTCTATTTCAGATACTACTACAGTTATCCAGAGCATTCTGGTACCCTCCAAGTTTAAGAAATGCCTTTCAGCATTTTTCCCATAGAATGAACTATGTTCATGAGTTCTGTCTGAGCTCCTGAAGAAATATATATGACCCTTACTATTGTAATTATTTTTTTCAGTCTCCTCTAATTGTTTTTTATTTGAATAGCTAAATAGATTCTTAAATAGTCCATAAAATTTGAACTGTCATAATGAAAACAAACATACATAAAACCACTCAGGACAAAGGCAAATTAAAGATGGGTATTTGTACGGCCTTTGGCTAGAGTGTTACTGACTTGTCACTAGATAGACATTATACCTCTGAACATCTCGCATCACAGATCTTCAGAGCACCAAGTGTGAATTGAGCTGTGTTATTGTAACCAATGGCTCTGTGTAGATCCCTTGGCTGACTTCCAGGAATCAGCTCAAAGAGAGGAATCCCTGGTGGAGTGAGTAAAGAATAGAAGGCATGCAAATATTTCACTTCTCCTTTTCTTTTTATAGCTAGAAAGTAAATCAAGAAAATTCGCAGATCCTAATTCTCCTCTTGGCTGGGATGGATTTCCTTTCTTCACTAACTTACATGTTCCACTCCAGCCCACTCTTTTTTTTGGGACATAGACTCTGCTTTCTGCTTCTCTTTCAAATAGAATGTGTTCTTTCATCTCCTCAGTCACTTGTTTGAGTGGATGATAATCTTTACTGTGACTTTTAAGTTCTGGCAAAATCTCTTCATAAGTATTCAGTGAGTAATGAAAGCCTGCTTTGCATTCCTCCCTCTGTCCTAATTTTAATTGTTTCCTTTTACCAAATAGAAAAGTCCTTTCCCCTTCACGTAATTCAGCTGTAGTGGATTTCTTTCTTCATTGATGCTCAGCAGTTTATGTGGGAATAGTTTACTAGCATGTTCTGAGACTGGTAAGGTGACTCTAAAGTTTCAATTCAAATATTAAGAAATTGTGGTGTGGTTAGGTTAGAATCCTGAGAGTGGCTTAAAAATGGTAACATCTTACTAGTGTTAAATCTTTTACTAGAGTAAAATATTTCTTTTCACTCTAGAGCATATATAAAAACATAGGGAACAGAAAACTTCCTTTTTGAACTAGTCCATTAAACTCAGCTTAGTTGCATCCTTGATTATACACTTGGGGTAAAAAAATAAAATAAAACCCACTTTACCTCCCAAAAGCAAATGCAGGACTCACTGAATTATAGTGAAGAGTCACTGGAGAGCACTGAGCATGTTTTATTTGCTTAAGACAACTGTGCCTTGCTGATTTCCCATGATAGAGATGGAAGAGCTGCTTGGTCATTCACATGGTTTCTAAATGAACCCAAGAAGGAAACACTGTAGAGTTCTAAGGTGACAATGTCAGTGATTATGATCTTTAATGAAAATGTACTAATCAAGATTTGCATCTAAATTACTATGCATCTTCACAAAAAATTGAAGAAAATGAGAAAATGAGGTAGTGCAAAGTTTGCTCAAAAAGGTTTTTCTGCTTGAAAACCATTATGCAAACAGAATGTAACATTTTCAGTGTGGTTTTTAATTTCAGTCTCCCTGTTTTTTTTTAATTTTTTGCATTGCGTTAAAATATGCAAATTTGTAGGTAGAAAGCATTCTTGTCTTGTAGAATTTGTTAAAAAAAGAAATACAGTAATATATTGGAATTGAGTCTTCTTAATGTTAGGTACTGTTTATTATTTTAATTGCTAAAAGTGAAGAGCCAAATCAGAAACTTACCTTAATTAAAAGCAGATAAAGACTTTAAAATCATCTTCAAGTCACTTTAGCCATTTAGCACCAGCACTTTGGTGTAAACACTGCTGACAGTGCCATAAACACTTGTTAGCAGCAGTGTGTGAAAATTCTAATGGCAATCTGGGCATAAAAGCCATCTTGTCAAGATGAAAGGTACACGGCAGGCTTTACTTCAATACGTTGTCATTTGAGAAAACATCATGAGTAAGCAATAAGGACTCTTCCAGCTAATTTATGGTGCTTACTCATAATGTCTCCTCAAATTAAGATCTATTAAAATGATTAGCATGACCCTGGTGATGTTAAGGCTCCCGGGTCTGTGGACACAGTTGGTTTCCTTTGTGGGAAAATGTAAGGAATAATTTCCAGCTGGGGCAGGAAAAGGTATCTAACCTGAATTTTTCACGTTTTACAGAGTTGAAGTGAATTTTGCCCAAAGGATTCACACATTCATTGGCCCTTGCCTTGTTTCTGTTGTTATGACATTAACCTTTAGCTTTATGAGAGAAATTCTACCCATCTCTATATCAAGTTTAATTCAGATGAGCAATATTATGACAAGCAAGAGAACTTAATGTTCCCCTGAAGTTCTGTATTGGAAAATGTATTTGATAGTTTTTGATAATCTTTCTCCCTCTGTAGTTACGCAATTACTTGTTTGGCAAATATCTGAATCTTTCATTTTCATGTTCTTTGTGTGACAAAATTGAGAAAAAATATCAGAGGAGACAAGAAGGTAGTCATCCAGCAAAACAGTCAGGAGGTAAGGTGCTTTGAAATGTCAAACTGCTGTCTAATCCCACTTGATGGCCAGGCTTTTGACTTCCCAGCCTGCTGGATGCATTCAGCATTCCTCAATGCTCTACCACTGTAGCAAAGCAGATAAGATTTGCAGGAGGAGGCAGAGAAATACAGGAGAGGTTTGGTATGGTTCTGTAGGTGCTTTCGTAAGCTGAGCAGTTACAGCATTCACCTCATGGGTAAGAGCCCCGAAACTTAATTTTTATGAAATAGTAATCGAATAAAGTACTAAAATAATTACAGAAACAGGGATTAGAATTCTTCCCCAGTTTCAAACCTAAATTCTGATAGGCAGTTAAATAACAGTGATCTGCTTAAGGGAGTGGTTTGAGCCTTGTGTATTTAAAACTAGAGAAGTCAGAATTCTGAGGTAGGTCATGCTCCTATTATATATAAAAAAAAGGGGAGCAAGCAAAGAAACATAAATACACTGTACTTAGTTGTACCTAGCTAACAAAAAATGAAAAATATAAAAAAATACCAAGGATGCCATTCGGGATCTGAACATTCAGGCTGAGTTGCATTTACAGTGGGATGTTCCCTCCCACTAGCTTCAGGCAGCAAATTCAAGATGCATTTAATTACTCTGTGGATCTACCTGTCAAGGTAGAAGTTTGAGAGGACATTTTGAAAATGCCTGCCTTTAAGATGAAGAAAGAGCTGGAAGCATAAGCATATAAAGGGATTTGAATGTTATAGGGATAACAGACATGGTAAATAAACTGAAACATGAAATAAAACGAAGGCACTAAACTCCAAAGGCTGCAGTTACGGAGAAAGATTGGGAATACATTGAAAAGAGAAAGAAACTAATGCCTATAAAGCGGCGTTGTGGAAGTGGCAGAACACCTCTGCATGAACTAAATACGGTGCTAAATTGCTAAGAAGGGACGATTACTGATCTCAGGAGAATTTTTCTTTGTGCAGTGTAATGTGTACACACACACTGCATGCAGGGACTACCAGTCACGACACTGAGACTCAAAGGGAAGAGTATTGCTTTTAACCTGACTTTACAAGTCAGGAACAGTTAGGGGGTATTTTCTGCGATTGTCTTACGCAGTTGTTATAAACACAAAATGGCAATTGCAAAAAAGAGTAAGCAGTCAGCAGGAGTTCACCCTCGAATAATTCAGTAATGCTGTAAATGACGGTTACAGCCCAAAAGATTGTGGAAAGGACAAACTGTTAATGTAAATCAGAAAACGAAACGGTTGTGAATATAACAAACAAAAGCAGAAACTGTGGAATGGGTAAGATTGAGGACTGCTTTCTTTATGTGAAAGAAGCATAACTCGATGGGGATGATGGGATTTAGTAGCAGAAAAAAGGGGAGTTATCTTTACAGTGACAATTGTTAAATGTCTAAACATTGAAATGCACAAGAAACAGGTGGTGGTAGTTAGTTATGACTTCAGTGTTTATTTGGTGTCTGAAAATTTATTTGGGATAACAGGCCAAGCTGAAATTTTCTGCAAGTAATAAGGCAAAACAGAGAAAGAATTTGAATGGCTATTTTACTATAGGTAAGAAATATTCAAATTACATTCACTGGGGCCATATTTCTGAGGTCATGGCTATGCCCATGACGACACCGTTAATGCAAATGAGGCTTGAGACTTCACCAGTGTATAATTATCACATAGTTGCACCACGTTTTAGTCATAAGAGTATGAGACCAGGTGCTCAGCGAGTGTGAATCAGCTACCTGATCAGTCGAGGACATTACACAGAGCAGGGTGAACATTGGGAATCTGTTTTTTTTTTGTTTGCTTGTTTTTCCACTTTGAGCAAAATTATTTCATAGAACAATAATAAAAGAAAAAGGATTTATTATAGGACAAAATAAATTGTATAACTGCACTTGCTTCACATTTGCAATATACAATGCTCAATCTCAGTAACTTGAGACTAAGAAAATACTTTTGTTTGTAGTGAATGTCATCTGAACATTTTTTTTAAACATGTGATAGTTTTTTGATTCTTAAGCAATTTTCTTTGTAGAAGGACTTTTAGAAACCCTGTAGTTGTGTTATCTGGCAGGTATAACCAGCGAGCTCTAACATGGATGGGAAGATTGACCTTCCTTCAGTGCAGTAAATTTTTTTCTTTTCTCCTTGAATATATACACCCCTTTATACATGAGAGGAGTTAGAGCAGTATGGTACAAAAGTGTGCTGTCTTACGAAAGTGGCACTGGATGTTTGTGCGTGATGCTCACGGCCATTTAATTTTGAAACAATTTTTGAAAGGTTTGAGAGCTAGACTATACATAGGTAATAATATAGTGCCAGGATACTTGTATCTTTAGAGGGTCAAAAATTCATAACCCTAGGAAAGGAGCACAAATCTTCTCAAAACTTTTCTCAAGACCCTCCATAAGAGGTTAACAACTTATTTCCTTTTTTCTAAGTTTATTCATTCATTAGCTACCTAAGAATAGTCTGGACTGGTTAGTTATGTATGACAACACAAAGCTAAATGGGTTATTTTCAGGACCAAAGAGGACTAGAAAGAACTTAAGAAGAGCTATATGCGTAAGCACTATGAAATACATTGCAAATAAATATGAAGTAACGTAGGTAGAAAGGAGCAAAATTAAGTGACTTCCAGGCTTAAAATTGCCAACTCAAGAAGCCAATATAGGCATCTGGCCAAAGGATTAAGTGGAAATGCTGCTTTGTGACCTCAGCTGTACAAACATCAAACAACTCGTCAGGCTAAAGAGGAACAGGATAGCGAATAGTACAGAAAATACACCATTTACAAATCTGTGATGCATCGTAACTCTGGAACACTGTTGGTAGTATAATTACTGTCTTAAAAGCGATATTGAACAATTTCAAGCAGCCTGGAGACAGGAACTAGAATCAATTAAATGTTCAAAAATTATCTTATGAAACAATACCGAAAAGACTAGAATTTTAGACAGGCGTGAGGTCTGGCAAACAGTGACAAATGATAAAGGACATAAAGAACAGATAAGAAATTAGAAACTTAGAAAAAAAATGAGCTTCACGACAAACGTGAAACTAAAAATGTGTATTTAATTCACATGCTAAATGTGAAAGAACTGCCTTTTAACCCATTTGTAATCATATACTGGAACGTACCGGCTGTCATGCAGTGTTTTACATACGGTTTTCCACATTCATAAAGCATTACACATATTTACATCTGTGACACACATATATACACACATGTGGGTATAGTTTAAGGACGTTGTTAATGTTCTATGCAATAGATGACAAAGAATGGTACAGTGGAATCTGAAGAAGCTAATACCCTGACACTGGATGATATTTCCGATGACGATATTGATCTAGACAACACTGAAGTAGATGAGTACTTCTTTCTACAACCCCTGCCGACAAAAAAGCGAAGGGCATTGCTGCGAGCTTCTGGAGTGAAGAAGATTGATGTCGAAGAAAAACACGAGCTGCGGGCCATCCGCCTGTCCAGAGAGGATTGTGGCTGTGACTGCCGTGTGTTCTGTGATCCAGAAACTTGCACTTGCAGTCTTGCAGGCATAAAATGTCAGGTAAATGTCTATATTACTATTGTTCTTGAACTATCAAGGGGAGGGGTAAAAAAAAAGCACACACATGTACTTTTTGTTGTTGAAGTTATAACTATTAGAAATTCATTAAGTTAATTATTAAACAATAACACTTGTGGATCTCAAACCATTTTTTTAAGGCCCAGATTTAAGAGTATGTAGTGTGCAATACAAACAGTCTTCTCAAACATCTTTATTTTATGATTGATTTAGGCACATACATTGTTTAGTTTTGTTGTTGCTGTTGTTGTTCTTATACAAGTATTCTGCTCCTCATATTCTTCTTTGGCCTTTATATAAATATGCAAATACAGAGAATAGAAGAATCAGTAGCCTGCAGATTTCAGAGGGGTATTACCTTTCGTTTTAGAGACAATTGATATACTGTCCAAATGTGAATTATAGCCCAAACTCAATGAGAAACAATAAATGAAACTCTGCGGTACCATCCTTTATTTAACATGCATGATACTTAAAATGCATGCATGATAAAGTTGCATGTAGGCATTAAAAAATACATCTGCTAATATAGCAGGTGGTTTTTCCTCTGCAGACTGAAAAGGTATTTTGTATTGTACATTTACACAGCGCCCTATGTACAGCTGTAAATGTCCCAAAATATTCCGTAAAAGAGGTTTCCACTAATTCTCCTGAGACGCTGTTATGGAGCTGAGCTGATTTCCTCTTGAATGCATTTTTCATTATTTCTTAAATCCAAGCTAAACTTTCTCTGCTATTATAAATAATACATTCTCTTTGCTGTTCCTGTTTTCATCTTTGCATGGAGGGAAGATGCACTAGATTGTGTTTATGTGGTTCTCCTCTGCATCATATTTTATGTTTAGGTATTATAGTGTAGATGAAACTCATACACCTTAAGCTAATTGAACTATCTGACTTGTGAACTCGGTCACATTTTTAAATTTAAGATAGTTATTATTAGATATCTAAGTTCTGCCCATAGTCTGTTGAGCTCACAATATTGCATCTACATTTGACTGGAATATCTTTTACGTATTCAAGTACTTGAGTGTTTATTCCTACTTCTGTGGTCAGGTGTCCCCCTGGGCACCTTTATAAAGGTTTTTATACGTAATTCATTTTGTTCCAATAGGTTTCCAGTTTCCATAATTTTAATCAAATGTTAAGACTCTTTCTGGTAATGCTTCTGCCTGGATTTGAGCATGCCATGAAGCAAAGCTGTAGCAGATCCATAAATAGAAAAACTACCTATCTTTTGTTCCACTGTGTAATGCCTTCCCCCATGGAACAGAAAGGTATTTTTCCTACTCTGCAATATTGTTGCACGTATGGCTCTCTTACTGTTCCTGCCAGTAGCGCTGAATTCCAGGGCTAGCCCCTCTGCCTTATTGCTAGCTTCGACTATTCTTACAAGTACTTCTCAAGGTGAATCCCACTTCACTATTGTATTTCTCTAGGCTGCTTAGGTTCTGTCGTATCAGTAGGCTTATGATACATATTGTTAATCTATATTCTTTTTCTTAAAAGGTGGATCGTATGTCTTTTCCATGCGGTTGCACTAAAGAAGGGTGTAGCAATACAGCAGGTAGAATTGAATTTAACCCTATCCGTGTACGGACTCACTTTTTGCACACAATAATGAAACTTGAATTGGAGAAAAATAGAGAGCAGCAAGTTCCGGCACTAAACGGCTGCCACAGTGAGTTAAGTGCACACACTAGTTCTGTGAGTCCAGGACCCCATCCGGTTGAATATTCAATTGCAGAAAATTTTGAGATCGAAACTGAACCTCCGGCTGCGGTTATGCATTCTCAGTCAGCCGAGGACTTGGACTGCCCAGGGGAAGAGGAGGATGAGGAAGATGGGAGTAGCTTTTGTAGTGGAGTTACAGATTCTAGCACACAGAGTTTAGCCCCTAGCGAATCCGATGATGATGAAGAGGAAGAGGAAGATGAGGAGGAAGATGAGGAGGAAGAAAAAGCAGATGATTTTGTAGAAAGCATGGGCTCCCATGCTGACATGGTGCCTCTTCCTTCTGTCCTTTGCTACTCTGATGGAACTGCTGTGCATGAAAACCACTCTAAAAATGCCTCATACTATACTAACTCTTCAAATCTGTATTACCAAATAGAGAACCATGTTGCTGGCACCGCTAACCAGATCGGTGAGACTTATTCAGAAAGGGATGCTGTCAAGAACGGCAGTCTGTCTCTGGTGCCTTACAACATGACTTCAGAACAGTTTGTTGACTACACCCGGCAATCAGAGGAAACTTTTAGCAGCCCTCATTACCCTTCTGCCAACCCCTCAGTGATTGTTTGCTGCTCATCTTCTGAAGGTGATAGCAGTGCTCCATGTAACACTTTATACACTGAGCATAGGTCAAGTCACCCTCAAGTGGAATTTCATCCATACTTGAAAGGTCCTTCTCAAGATGGCTTTGTTTCAGCTTTGAATGGCGACAGTCGTGTACAAGAACACCCTGCTGAGAATTCACTAAACCTCCCAGAAAAGAGCAGACTGCATGAAGAGTGCATCAAATCACCAGTGGTAGAGACGGTACCTGTTTAACATTAAAGTTATTCTAGGACTGACTTCCTGTATTCAAATGCACTCACATTGGATTTCCTAGAGTCTTACTTTTTTAAGAGGTAGACAAGACTTGGACTATAGTCAATGTTCCAGACACATTTTGTTTTCTCAAGCTACACTGGCAGTGGTATTGCACAAAATCAGTTCATGTAAAGATTTAAATAAAAATAATCAAACTGTCTTTTGATAAAAATAAAACATGTAAGTGAAAAACACACCCAACTTATTTCAAAGTATGTGAAACCTGCCAAGCTATCTGAATCAAAGCTTTGTGTTTTTGATTGTCGGGCCTGTGCAAGATTGTTAAAAATGATACCTTGAAATAATCATGTTTAGAGTCCTAATTTTCAACATATCTGAAAAGATGGTGAGTTTAATGTAAAAGTAACTACTGTACAAAAAAATTTTAATTGTTCTGTACTGTATGTATTTTATTTATGGTAGTTTAGTATTCATGTTTTGATAAAAATGAACAGCATGTTCATTTGAGCAGAAGATCCATAGCTAGTTACAAAGAGCATGTCCACTTTTCATCTGGAGTACCATGTGCTCTTCCTTTTGGGTTTTTTGGTTGGTTGGTTTTTAAATACCATTTCTAGTAAATTATCTTGAAACACATTTTTAGAGTGGGTGATTTTCTTTTACCGTTCTTGACAAAGAAACAGAAGAGTCAGAAAGGGGGCATTTACATCTTCTAGAAAGGTGAAAGGTAGACAATCCTCCATTACAATTAAAATCAGTGGCTTTCCAGAAATAGTGCCCTTCTCCAAAGAAAAATGATCTCGTATATAAATGGCAAAGCAGTAGCTTACGCTTGCACAGCACCTTTTAGCCCAACATTCAGATACTTACGCACTTTAGTGCCATTTTGCAGTACTGGATTAACTGTGGGAACTGTGAACTATTTCGGAGATATGCCATAGCTCCAGACTTGAGGTGTATGTAAGAAGACCTGTACGTTTTTCCCAAGCCAGTTTATGACTATGTCAGTAGGTAATTTATAAAAGTAGAGTCTTGCTGCTCAAAGTTTAAATGAAGCATGGAAAGGAATGTGAAAGTGTCTGGATTTCCTAAATATTTAGCAGTTTTTATGAAATATGAGACTGTTTTTTGTGGATTGTATCTCCAGTTTACAGTTATTTGGCCTAATTAGGAACCAGTGGATTCAGTGAGGAAACATAGCTTCAGAAATTTTATATCTACCTATATATCTATCTGCTAAAGTTTGCAAGTAAAATAGCACATGCATCTTATGGGTATCCATTACATTGTACTCCATTTGTTTTTAAAAGAAATGGGAATTAAAATGTGTGCTGTATGTCAACCTTTAATTTGTTAATCAACCTTGCTTTCTTCTAGCAAAGGAGGTATATCTTCTAGAAAAGGAGGTGTAGGAACCTGCTTTTCTCCACACTGGTAATTCTGCACTACCTTATTTTGATTTCAAAAATCTATTTTAACATTTTTGTTCTTCTAATACTGAAATGTTATTTATTATACATCAAGTGGGTTGAAGTGTAGACCTGTCTTGTTTGTCAAAATATAAGGATCAGCATCTTGGTTATTAATCTGTGTCTGATCTAGATGGTTAACAGTATGCATGTAAACACGGTGTAAATTTTAGCTCTGTAACAGTGACTCTTCTGGTTGGAAGCTCTTTAAAACATCATGTACAGTAGTATTTCAGTAGAAAAACTGCCAGATTTAAAATAGGCTTCTTTAAAAAAAAAATAAGCTAACTTAATTTTTTTTTTATACAAAATCTGGGCAAAATGATTTCTCATTTTGATGCTAAATTAGCAAAATATTTTTACTCCATGTAGTAGCTGGAAAGGTTTTTTATTTACTTTTGTTTCCACATGTTTTATATGAACTGCAACGAAAAGTTTTAGTTCTCTAGGGACCGGATTCCACACTTGCAACGTATTCCATCTCCTGGGAGGGTGTGGTCGTGTTGGTTATCTGGCCAAGCAGTTCCTTAGCCTCTGTTCCTCTCAGGCACAGAACACTAGTCTTTCTGTAAAGGCTGAGTAGCCAGGTAAGCGCATGCATTCTTCACTTCCATATAGCAAACCCATCTTTATTTTTAGAGAGAAGTATGTTAGTGCTTAGAAAAGTTCTGCATCTAAGAATAATATTAATCTGTTAAAGCTATTCTGTGGGCAAATGTGACAAGTCTCTGTGTATCTAGGTATCTTGCATTAACAGCAGGCTTAAATCTGTAACTCTCACTCAACACCAGCACCAAAAGCACAAATCCCTTCTACCTGAGCTGGGACAGCAGCTGTGAATCAGTAGCAGCTTTTTAACCTCAGAGTGTGTTGGCTGCTGGAGGATCATGCACACCTTCCCCTGAGAGAAATACCATGGTGAAGTTAAATGAAATACTTTGTTTCATTATTCACCCCCTTAGTGAGCAATAAGAGTTACTTTCTTGGCCCCTTGTGCTTTCCCATGAAAAATATCTTTAATAATATTAGCAAGCACAGCAAGTGATTAACTTTATAAAATGCATCTCAGCTAGCTTTAAAATACTGAGATGATACTTATGTAATATTGCCATTGGCACAGGCTTCAGACCCCAGGCCTCCTTAATACTAGCATCTGTATTAACTTCTGAGTACTTAGATGTGCATGTTCCACGCCACTGGGGCATCAGGGGTGAACACAGCTAAATTCTCTAAAGGTTGCAGCGTAGGATAACAAGCAGTAGCTTGTAATAGGGTAGAGAAGGCAGTGACTAAAGAACTTGTGCGACACTATTTCCCTTGCTTAAAGTAGCTAATTCCTGGGAGTCACAAAGTAAATCATACAGAATAAAGATTTATGTTGCAAAAATATTCTTAACTAGCTGGTGACAATGTAAATAGTAATACCTTTCTTTTGATCCGATACGATGTTTTGTGATCAAGAGTTGATCTCAGGATACAAAGTAAACAATCTTGTGTAGTTCCTGCAACAAGTTACAAAGTCAAGTCTGTTTATAATTCGTGGACATTTCCTGGTAGCTCTACTAATAGTATCAACAAGCCTCCTAACAGAGATAAACACATACTGAGGAAGAAAAAGCCAGAAACCTCTTTTTTCAATACAGGCTAAACCTGTTCCCCAAACAATTCCCTACCAGCAAATAACAAAGCTAAAGCCTTTTCTAGAAAGTACAAGTTGACTACAGTGAAGGAAAAAAAAAAAAAAAAAGTCACAGCCCTGACCAAAACAGATAGGCGAATGTAACTGTGAGATCTAGAGTAGGCTGTAGAAATCGGGAGAGAGTCAAGATTAGACTTTCATGTTTTCTTTCGGGGAAAAAAAAGAGTACTCTTCATATAAACTGAAATCATGGGATGGAAAATGTTTTAATGTTGTTTTCTGGGCTAGCATAAAATAATATATGATGTGTCCCATTTCCCAGTTGGTTAATATTCATGTTGATAATCAGTCCTTTGATTTTGGGTAAGCTTGTTTCTGCATGATAAAAGTGTTATATTACTAAATGGTAAACAGCAGTATTTGCTTCTGTATTGACACAGTATGTAATTTGTGGAAATGTTTACTTTACCAATAGCTGTATCAGCTTTATTATTTCCCCAAGATATCTGGCTACTGGATAATCCCTCCTAAGAAGCCAGGTAATAAATTGATAGGTGGTTTATGATCACAATATGTAGTTCAGAAAAATGAGTCATAACAAAAGCATTTCCCTCTGTTAAAACAGATTTTTCACACAGAAGATCACTGGAACAGCACCTAAAACTAGATGCCTTTTGGCCTATGTAATGTGAACTTTGCCTCTCTTGGAAAAAATGCATTGTTAAAGTTTATATATAAAGCTTTAACTGATGTTAGACATAAAATTATAACTTTTCTGGCAAAATTGCAGCAATTGCCATTGTTTCCTAAAAGCTGTAACTCATGCCCACTGCAACATCCTTTAAAAAATTAAAAGCTGGTCAGTAGCAGTTTCCAATATTTCTTTCCTTTAAAAAAAAATAAATTCTTCGATAAGCTGTATGCCATTTAGATCAGAAAGTTCTAAATTTGTATAGTTTTACTATTTTTCATTTACATAAGTTCCTGCTAGTGAATCAAATTTGATTGACACTTATTTATATTAAGCCCATTGATTACACTATCATAGTAACCATCACTCTCTATAAATATGGTTGAGCCTGCTCACTGCTCTGTTAACTGAGTCAATTAACAATGTGATCCTGCCTTTTGTCTAAGTCCTGCGAAAACTGCATGTGTTATTCATGGTGGTGTTACTTACTGCATTGCTAACTGATCCAGATCCAGTTTCTAATCGTATCTGGGTGTTGTATTTCAGTAAATGTGCTAACAAACTGATCATGTAACATTCCCTGCCTCACACTCACGAAACACAGCTAGTTTGTTAAAGATTGTATACATATATTTGTATGCAAGACAGAACCTGTGTTATGCTTTTTAATATTTCAGGTGTTCCTGAGACTCTGATAGAAATGTGATATACTGGATAGAGAGTATTGGGCTCAGATGGGTTTGCCTTTGCCCTACGGTGTCACTTCCATTCTCTGTGCTCTCAGTTGTAAGGTACTTGGAAATACTGTGATAAAAAAATAATTCTATAGAACACCAAGCTATTGGTTTTTTCCTCTTTTTTTGGCATCATAACTAAATTTTTTTAGTGCAAACTAAGTCACTTTCCCAGCAAAAGCCCTATCCAGCTTAGAAGTGAATAGAAATTTTATCATTAACGTGAAACAGCAAAAGCAAGCTCTCCTTTCCATGGACAGGATTAATGAGCAAAAGTTTAACAATAAATGTCACAGTGAAAATTAGAATAAAAGCTGTGTTGAATATACAACATTTACCTGTTGAGTGCTTAACATTTGAGCAGCAAGATTGTAGTTTGGCTGCAACAGCATGCTTGGCAGCAACAGGCAGTCATTCCCATGCATGTTGTCTTTTGCCAGCTGAATTCTCTCAGTTGAAACCCCTTCTCTAGGCTGCTCTCATAGCGATGCAGGTGCCCTTACTCAGAGCTAAAGCAAGAGAGACCCATGATACTGTTTTAAAAGGCATTTTCTAAATAAGAAACTCCTGTGTTACAGCTCATGAGTTGTATAAACTCATGTTCATTGTGCCAGCTGCTTAATTTCCTGAAACAGTCAGGAGCAGGGACAGAAGAGGAGGAGATGGGAAATCCTTATGTGTTAAGCTTTCCCACTGGGCCCAAAAAGTAATTCTGTCATCGACTTTATTATGGTTGCAGAACCTTTGATGTAAAATACTTAGGAAAACTAGAATTAACTCAGAGAATATATTCTATAGAATTTATTTCTAAAATATTAAATCTGATTACTATTTTTTTAAAAGGTAGAAAGCTACTTTTATTTTCAAAACAGAGCCTAGTTCATTAACATGTTCCTTGGTATGAGAAATTTCAACATTTGCCTTTTCGATGTTTCAAATTTTTTTTAATATTCCTTAATCTTGCTGTTTTCTGTAATCGCTGTCCACATGCAAATTATTAATTGCCCATTTTCTCCAAGAGGTGTGAAATCCAAAGCATGAACATTGTGAAGTGATAGATTAACTTTAAAGATGTCTGAGTGAACACACTTGAGTTCCTCCTT